TCTGAGGGCTCCACCTGCAGCCGGGGCCGAGCGGAGCCCGGCTCGGACGGGGCAGGAAAGGAGGGAGGCGCCGGGCTGGGCCGAGCGCAGTGCGGGGGTGCCATTGGAGCCCCGGGGTCACGCGTTAAATAACTCGCTCTGAAAGAAGAGCAGAGGTGTAGAGGTGCCGGCATGTGCCTGTTCCAGATACAGCTGGTGTTCCCTTCCATTATTTATCCAGGAAACAGCAGGCCCGTACTCCTGCAGCTTTTCTTTCCAAGCCACTGCTCCAGGCAGCCTGTGTGGCGTTTCGAGTTAAATGTGTTAAAGCAGACTGCGTTACTGCGTCACAGGTAGGCCCTGTGCCCCACCTGTGAATGCCTGCTTAATGCACAAGGGCCTTTCTCTGCTCCGAGAACTCGCCGTGGAAAGCAGACGCGTGGGTTGGTTCCAGGCACTTGAGAACACTTTGTTAGGGAAAAGGTCAGGCCGTCTGTTTGTTCAGACTCTGTCACAGAAGAGCAAAAATTATCATGCCACTGTATGAGTTGGTGGTGGCCTGGTACACTTAGTACCTTGTGCAGTTCCGATTATCGCTGATCCAGAAGGGTTTAATAGACCTCTGTGAGGCCAAGGATAAGGTCTAAGGACTCAGGCACTCTTTAGTGAGGTATTGAATATCTTCCATATGGGTAGGAGTAACTGAATAGACCTGAAAGAGGATACAGATGGAGAGTGAAACAGTAAGGGGAAGGTATGAGGAGAAACACATAGAATTATCTAATCAGAAAACAAATTAAGAACAAAAGGAAGTACTTTGCCACAAATAATAAAACTTGTTGCCTCAGGATGAAGACAGTATAATTGGGTTCAAAAAGGATTTATTCAAATGTATGGAAAAAAGATTCATTATCATTGCTTGGATTCTGCCTCTGTCTCCTCAGGAAATCCCAAAACAGCTGACTGGTTTCTAGAGCTTGCAGAATGAAAGACAATTCTACAGAAGTACTTTCTTTGTGTACTCCATTCTAAACATCAAAACTAGCTACTTCAGAATCATTTCATATTTCAAAAAGCTTTTTTTCTTCCTTCAAAATCAGAAACAAAAGACCCTAGGCTAGTGGTAAAGCACAGCCTTACATTATTAAACTAGTGTAGATGCTATAGTTTCAAATTGTACTCAGCAACATTTGCACTGGGTGTCCAACACAGATACTTTGGATGGAGTGAGACATTGAGGCTAAATGACTTCAGCACATGAATTGCTGGTTGCAAGAACAATATAATTACAGCCAGTACATCAGGTTTGAAGAAGCAGCTGAAGGATACATTATAGACCTTTAGGTACATAAATCACATAATTCATCAATTGAATAAGAGTTACCGTAACTCTAGTATTGGAATGAGGGATTATGCGCATGCTTTTATTTTTTTTTACCAGTTCAGAAACACTTAAGAATTAACTTCCATTTTTAGAAGTGGTGTCTAATTTAGTTCAGCTGTTTATTTTGAATAAAAAAAGAATATGAATGAATGAATAAAAAGCAAATCACCAATTCTGTAACCCGCTATTACAGACTGCTACAAACAGGTAAAGGCTGTGATGTTGACAAGAACAGCAGTTAATGTCTTCCTGTACTGGACATGAAGTTGATGGTTTATTTGCAATTTGTGAATTCTTTTGAAGATGGGCAAGGTCTGTGCTGTTTTTGGAGGATCCCGTGGGATAGGCAAAGCTGTGGCAGAGCTCCTGGCGCAGAAGGGCTGCCGCCTGGCCATCATTGCTAGGAATCTGGACGTGGCCCAGACCACTGCCCATAACCTTGGTGGTACGTATGCTGTTGTGCAGTTACCACCTCGCTGTCCGTGCTTAGGTGACTTGGGAAAATAGCAAAAAAACCCCCCGTGGTGTTTAACAAGATGAAAGGAAAATAAAGGCTGAGAAATATTAAAAAACAGCTATATTGGGGTTTTTTTGGTTTATATTGGTTTGTTTTCACAATAGTGGTTGAGAAAGTAGGTTTCCTATTATATCTGCATGATGGGAATTTTAAGATGAATGGAATTGTTTGGGGTCACAATAGAGGTGATGTGAATTGGATCACCCTCAGCTCCTGAACCAGTCAGAACTGAGACCAGTCTCAGTTCACACTGAACTTCCCATTTCAAAAGGCAAAAAATCTAAAGCAAGGAATTGTCACGTAACTAATGAATACAATACTTGAAAATAATATTTATTTAATTGTCTGGGGATTAAATAGGTTCCTTAAATTATAACTAGTTCAACATCTGTTTTGCAACTGAGTTGATACATTCTGAAGAAGGTTTATGAATTAAATACATCTTTTACTGTTTATTTTGACATTATATATATTTCAATACAGCAGGACATCTGGCGTTTCGCTGTGATGTATCCAGTGAACAAGAAGTCCAAAAGACTTTTGAGGAGATGCAGAGGAATTTGGGTCCTATTAACTACATGGTTAATGCAGCTGGGATCAACAGGTTGGTTACTCCTTACAAGACTATAAGTAATTCTAGATGAAGGCAGCTCAGCTGTAAGGTGCTCTGGCCCTTTGTGCTTAGTAACTGTTATTAATGAGCACATCTGAAAACAATATTAAGTGCTTGCCAATATTTTGCTCCTGATGGTAGTAAAATGCTAACAGATGATACAGCTTTTCCTGTAGTTTCTGCATTCTGAGTTCCTCCTCTATTCTTTCTTCCAATTTTCCCTCCAGAATGGTTCAAAACAGTGCTTGATACCACTCTGCAAAAGAGGCTTTGTGGCCAGAAGCAAGGCTAACTTTTTTTTTTCCTATGTGTAGTTCTTGCAGTGTTGTCATTTTGAATGCTCGAATGTATGGAACCTCATACGCCCCCATTAATATTCTGTGCAACAGTCTTTTTTTATGAGTAAACATGATCAGGGGGTTGTTCAGTGAATTCTTTGGGTTTTTTTGGTTGTTTATCAGGGATGGTTTGTTACTGAGAACCAAGACTGAAGATATGATAGCCCAGATTCACACGAACCTGTTGGGAACAATGTTGACATGCAAAGCCGCTGTAAAGGTCATGATTAAACAGCAGGGAGGTGCTATTGTCAATATAGGTAAGTTGCTTGTGTAAGCCAGTGGAATTCAGTGTACTAGTCTAGAAATGTTTAGCAGGTGTAAGATATCACATTACTTGTTACAATTTACTTATTTTCCTTTTCCTTATATTTAGAAATTCTGTATTTAGAATTCCTTTATGAATGCTTATTCTTTTGTGTAAATTCAGCAACTTCTAGATAGCTTTTTACAGTAATAAACACCTCAGAGTTGATATTTTATTGAAAAAAGAGCTTTGCTATTCTTAACCAATTCTTTCAATATCTAGATCTACCAGCTGCTGGCTATTAACTAAGGATTGATAGGTACAGTTAGTTTCTTCCTTTCTTTATTTAATCTGGGCTAGGATACCTTTTTTAGAAAAGCCTTCATTTTACTCTTCTGGTGCCTGTTGGTCAACATAGATACATGGATTGCAGAAAAATCACAGCTAATTGGCAGATTTGCTTAACCTAGCAGGCTAAAGTGCATAAAGTTATGCATGTTTTACTCTTTCCTTGTGATCTCATTTTTCATTCCAAGTTTAAAAGTAAAATGATAAAGCTAGTACAAAGTTTCAAGTTACCCATTTAATCTTCTCTTTGATGTTTCTTTATTTTAGGGAGTATTGTAGGACTTAGAGGCAACTCTGGTCAAAGTGTGTATAGTGCTACCAAAGCTGGAGTGGTTGGATTTTCATGCTCTCTTGCTAAAGAAGTAGCAAAAAAGCAAATTCGAGTCAATGTTGTTGCTCCAGGTTAGTTTCAAGGAATTCCTGCATCCTTTACTGTTGCAATTCACTAAGACTGTGGATATTCCTTGTACTCTGAAAGTAACTTAAGACAAATTTACTTTCCTCAGCTTTGTAAGTAAATATTTTTAATATCTTTTATTTGTGTAAAGTATAATACATTCTTTTATAATACCTTCAGTCTTTTTAAAGGAACACTGAGGAATTTGGAAGAGTGAATCTGCCTTTTCCTCTATCTATTATGACATAATAAACATCTTTTTTTTTCCTTTGTTCCTTCTTCAAAACTTGCTATCCTTGCAGATGGAAGGATTAGATCTAAATAGAGACAGAGAACTACCCTTGTCACCAGCTAGAGAGTGCTTATTTTTTATTGGGGAACCATGGCAGAGCATGAGAAAGCTGTCATAAAAGCACCCCTGTCTCCCTGTAGTAAAAGGAATGAGTCCTGAAAGTTATTTCTGTGAGTAAAGGCTGTTATTTCATAAGATGGTCTTGTTCAAGCGAACTGCCACCCTTAAGGACAAATCCCTTCTGCATTTTCTGCATTTTTCCACTCATAACTGTGTACACTGCTGTTCACCTTCTGCTGTCTCTGGTGCCTTTCAGAATTCTACATGAACCTGTTCAGCTTGTGAACTAGGCAGGAAAAATACTTTTATTCTTTAGTGAGTTGAGCAGCTCATCCACAGCCATCATAAAGGGACAGAGTTTTACCGTAGAAAGTAAAAGGGAGACTTTCCCTTCTTGATGGCAGCTAGAAAGCAGGTAAGATCAGCTCTTTATAAAGCTGCAGCTTATGTGTAGAGTTGTGCAGCAGTGAAAAAGCCAACTCTCAGATAATGGAAAATTGTAAAAAGGTCCTTCAAAAATGTCAAGAAATGTTCTTCAAATGAGTGCTCTAATAGAAGCTATGCAAGCACTGCTCTAAGTTCTGAAATATAATGCGAACATTTTAAAGTCTGAGAGGGTTTCTTGCCAGACATTTTGCTCGTATTTTTATTGAGAACATTTTGGTGAAATGAGTATATTTTGTCTTTCAGAAAAATGATACTAAATACAGTTTATGGACTGAATTTTAGTTACCCTTTGTTTGGTTTTCTGGTTTTGTTTGGTTTTTTTTTTTAATGGACTTCTATAGATCTTTGCATTTTGATTGTTGCATCACTGCTTCCAAAACTGAAAGGTATTTTATTGGTTAGATAAAAAAGTGGTCTTGGCCATCAAATGATGTGGGCTGCTTTGTGAGACTTTGAAGAATGGTGGCTGGTGCTGAATTCTGGTAATAGATTTCACTTTGTAAAATTCAGTGGGAAATCCACTAGATAAATTTAGTCAAAGGTTAGGTAACCCTTCATATATCTCTCTGCTCTTAGGCTTTATTCACACAGAGATGACAGCTCATTTGGAAGAAGATCAGTTGAAGAAAGCAATTCTCCTTGGAAGATTTGGAGAGCCTCATGAAGTTGCACAAGCTGTTGTCTTTCTTCTAGAATCCCCATATATTACAGGGAGCGTTCTGGTTGTAGATGGAGGCTTGCAGCTTATGACCTAAGTAATACCTTGAAGAAATGACTGCTTTAATGTGATGATGATAATATATAAATATGTACTAAATAAAGGGAGAGGGTTGGAAATCGTTTGAAGATTGATGTACATAATTGACTTGGTCTTATTTAGTCAGAAGAGAAATTCAGCAGCAGCGAAGGGCAACATGTGTGTTTAGCTGCCTGAAAGAGTCTGTTTGGTATTACAAAGCCTGTGTATGTAACAATTTGAAAAAGATCTGGTTTTGATACGGTGGTAGCTTTAATAATGTGCTGATACGTTTTTAAAGCACTGTATTTTTATAAAGTCCTGTTTTCTAATTTGGGATAAAATGAGATTTTATTTGAATTATCATGTTACACAAAGGTTAATAAAGTGCAGAGACATGTTTATTGGGTGGCAGGTATGATTGCATCAAGTTTTTCAAGTAGGGCAAAGATTGTGAACTGCATAGTTTTGCATTCTTATCAGTTAGTCCCTACAAAGTAGCAAGGAGTTTCCTTTGAGCTTTGTTTGTTTGTACCTGACACTACAAAGCTAGGAACTTCTGGATCTTCAGCATACCTGAATTACCTTTAGAAGATTTAATTATATGCAATGTGTTTTCATAAAGACAAAGCCTACTCAGGTCCATTCCTGAATGTAGGTACAGCACTCTCTCAATCCAGTGGCTCTTGAGTGTGCCCATCGAAGGACTGCTAGAGCACTGGAGCATATTCTCATATGCTCCATATTCTCTCATATTCTCATATTCCATCTGAATCCTCTCATACTCTCAGCCTGAGCTGCACACACACTGCTGAACACTGCAGCTGCAGACCGTGCTGTTTAAGACACTTTGCAAGGACTCAGTAGACGTTTAGAATATGTATCACTTCCAGAGTATGAAGTATGAAGGTGTTGTATGTTGTGCTCTGTATCTTCATGAACACTGTTCAGCTGTTGATGATCGCTCATATGCATGTATAGTCAATAAAATAGCCATTTATTTTATTCAAAGCAACTTTTGAAGCAGAGTAATTATTCTGCTGTAAATGATTCTGAGTGTTTCTGTTTTGCTGAAAACTTACCAAATGTTTGACCTCAGGCTTTTCTATTGAGCTCAAGTAACTTTTGATAATAGATGTTTTTTATTATCTCTGAAGAAAACTATGAATGTGGTTTAGGACCTTCACTTCTTAGTTCTGGTGTTCATTGCATCATAATCCAGATGTTAATTCAGCTTTTGAAATTACTTCAGTACAGAGAGATCTCCCTGATGATAACTGAGTCTTTAAAGCTGGAGATTTTCTTCATTTGTGCAGCTGAGAAATTTTGTCTTTGTGCCAGAAAACAGTGCATGTTCAAACTTCTTGCAGGTATGTATTGAGAAATAATGCAAGGACTACTTGTATGATCAGGAGATTTTACAATTGGTTGTATAATTCACTTTGGAATACAGAAGACTCCTCAAAGTAACCTTCCAGGAATCCTTAACTTCCTGTTATCGCTGTTATGTATCATATGTGTCTTTGCACCAAAAATATCATTGCTAATTACATTTTTCATAATACAGATTATGAGAATTTTTTTCAAGGGCACTGAAAGTGAGGAAGGACAACTGGTACATTTTCACTAGTCAAGTAGGAATATGTCAGTGACTTGGCTGTTGCCCATATCTGTCCTTGGTATCATACAAACAGACCCTGTGTGACATATCTTGACCAAAAGCCAAACCTAAGAAACTAGAAATAATTCTCTTTTAGTGAGTTATTATTATTATTATTATTATTATTATTATTATTATTGGTTTTGGTTTTGTTTGTTTTGTTTTTTTTTTTGTAAGTTGTTAAATAAGTTATTATCAATGGAATTTTTAGTTTACTTTTGCAATTAAAACCTGGAATAATGCTGTCAGAAGAATCTCGGCATGCCACAGAGTAATTTCTTTAGAAAGTTTCAGTACATACTATGTTTTTATTATTGCTGTTGCTATAGGGCCAGACTGAAGTGTTGGTAGCTTTAAATCATACTTTTAAAAAGCTCTTTTGACTCTTTTAATCAAACTGGTAAATTAGAACTGAAAACTGGTGAACATAATCCTGTCCTGGTGTGATGTCTCAGACAGGGGAGTAGGGAATGTGCAGGGTCGGTAACAGATCAGGTGTGTGTCTTCTTAGAAGACTCTGGTACCTCCAGCAGTTTGTGACTGGGATGCTTGAACCCAATGGGTAGCTCTGGTTGAGGCAGGCAGGCATTAAAAACAACCCTCTGGTGCTCTCTCTGTTTTGCTTTTGAATTTGTGGACCTCTATCTTATCCTGCCTGCCTTAGTTGTTTCTGTTTTGTACTGAAGAGTCATACATTCCTTGCATCCATACAGTTGCTTGTTGCTTTTGTATCTTGAATTATCTTAGTTGAACTTCGTTTTACTTTTACAGTTTCTCAAGGAAGGAGCAACAGCTAGAACTACTTGCAGAATTCACTGCGGACCTATTAAAAAAAATTAAATCGTTCTATGTTTTATTTTATATTGTTTCCAAAAATTATGCATAAGTGTTTTGCTTTTTCCTAACCTTTGCAGTTATATTTTCAAAACAATAACCCAGTCCCAAATAATTAATGGTCAACTTGGAGTTCGTTTCAATATATATGTACAAAAGTCTAAATGTTTGTATTTTTTTCAGCATGAATTGTTCTCAAATATCTACAATGAGATTAGTTTGCTGGTTTTAACACATTTTTTTAAGTGAAATAGTTATGCAATTTTTTAATTCCTTAATCCCTTTGTTACTTTGAGTACTTAGTGTTGTTGTAATATACTGTGGCATTCAGAAACTGCTGTTTCAGAACCCTTAGAAATAGGTTGTACCTTGCCTGCCCCAACAGAGAAATTGTGGTGTTCTGTTGGCACTGCACATCCTTAGGAAAGAACAACTGCTGATTCATGCCCTTTGTCTTCTGTCTTTAAACAGTTTACTGATATGACAACTTCTTTTGGCAGCACAGCATCATTAATGGTTTCTGGCAAGGGAACGTGTCAGATGCCTTTTACAATTTCAAGCATGCACCATTATTACATCCCCGTACTCTCATCTCTTTTAAGTTCTTTAGAAGAACTCTAAAATGTTTATAAAACATGATTTTCCTTTGCAAAAGCAACTGTGTATGTTTATCCTGTTGCTTTCTTGGCCTTAGAACAATTCCTGACACTTTGCTACGTACAGAAAAATATTATTAGTCTTTAGTTCCCTGGATCCCTCTGGAATCTCTTCTTAAAAAACAAATGATTGTTCCACCCACTGAAATCACAAAAACTTGCTGTCACTTCTGCCAGCTTCCAGTCACTTGATAATGAGGCAGGTTTCACTCAGAAGTTTCAAACTGCATTTACTTGGTTTCTTTTAGAACTGAGGAATGATAGCCCCCATCTTCCTCCATTTGTCCCTCTTTCTTCTGTAATCTTTCCTGATGTTGTGCTCTGATGAGTAAAACCTTGAACAAATTGCCTGTAAAGGTTCTCCTCAAGTTCCTGCGTGGTACCAGAAACTGATCATAGGGATTTGTTCAGAGTATGGGGATTTTTTTCTCCTCAGTGGTCTTTCCTTCCCTGAGCATTTTGCTTTTTACTTTGACCATCTGCTTGTCTTCTTCAGGCACGGTTCCTGTTCCTGAGGTGCTGGTCACTGTCAGTGCCCTTTTGCAGATTATTCCTCTGCACTCTGATCTGGCTCTAAATGTTACATTCAGTGACTGATTGCATTTGACTCCTAAAGCTAGACTGCTGGTTTTACAAAGGTTGATGTTTAAATGCTAGGAGCTTCCCCCTCCCCACAAAAATAAGTTAAATTTGATGTGTGTATTTAAAGTCATTGTACTGAAGTTCAGTACATTCAATCTTAATGTTGTCATTGGGCACTGTATCTTAATTTTGACTTGTCTTTTTGGTTTCATTTTAATAGTTTTCTGATTATATGTTGCTTCTTTTTTATGTAAGTCTGTGGTAATGGACTTCTGTCTTTATTAATAAACTTGGTCAATAAACTGGCATTAAAAAAAACAACTATTTAAACCATTAAAAAAACCACTATTTGAAAATAGCATTTTGGCTCAGGCCTTGTGCAGTCGGGGTGACTACAGCCAGAGTTGGGTGGCCCTGATTAGCTGCATAAAAAAGAATATATTAAAAGAGTGATCTCAGCCTCTTGAGTGTGACATTTATTCAACATACTCATGATTTCTGTCTGTCATCACAGTTACATTGCTGGCCTTACACGTCTCAGATGTCATAGCTATGGTCACCTTCTTAATGATGTGGGTACCAATGCTGTCTAATAACAGAGTTTACCCAGCTAGGTTTGGAAATTCAATCGGTATTGGATTGCATTATTTAATACGTTGATATTTATTTTTATGACTCTTCTACATATTTTGTATCAATGTTTTACTTTGTTTAATCTTACTTCCATCGTATTTCTAGTCTGTCTGGTTTGTCACTGTCCTTGATTAAAAGCAAATATTTGGTCTTCATGTCTTGTGCTGCTGGCATTTATGCCAAGCTGTATATAAATGTTTGGGGTTTTTTTGCATGTGGGTGTTTGCAAGTCAGACTGCACTTGACATCCACAAATGACTTACAATAATTTCTCAATTGAATTTTGAAAACTTCAGTCCACTATCTTATTAGACATACATAATTTCTGTGTTTCCATTCCTAATGGAAGTGAGAGAATGTGCTCTTACCCATCTGGTATTTCTTCACTCATTATATTGCTTGAAACTCTCCTATAATCTCTTAAATAGCAACATCTCTTTGCTTGTTCTTTCTCTTTAAGAATAGTATTTTATGGATTCTCACTACTCCATGTTTCTGTAGTTTCTAAAGAATCTGTAGTCCTCTTTCTAGAACTGTTTTTTCAGGCATGCATTGAAACTTTGCCTCATCCACCTAGTTTTGGGAGCATTTAAAGAAGGCTGCAGTGCAAGTGGTCTTTAACTTACTCTATGTTTTATTCCAGATCTTTTCACTTGCCCCACCCCATGTCACTGGTTTCTACATGGCCTTTCACTACCACCACAGAATTTCTAAAGAGACTATCAAGGAATGTTTTGAGGGTGGCTGCTTTTCCAGCTGTCATTTAATTCAGCATGCAGTCTTTTTATACAGCAACCTTCTTTCTGACTCACCCATAATTATTGCTGTGAGTTTTTACTCATCTGGTTTCCTGCTTCAGAGAGGATATTGTTGCTAAAAGAAGGTTGTGTACTGCAGTTTTTACTCATCACTGTGACCTGCCTTGTCACTGCCAAGTTAGGAAATGTAAAATTGTTCTTCTGTTGGTTTGATTCAGTTCAAAGTTCATAGGTAGTGTGATTTGCACGTTCTGGGGTTTAGTTGAAGCACGTTATAGACCTAGGAAGTAAATTGTTTTGTATGTCTTCTCTGCATTGTTTTGGGAAGATGATGGATTACTGTTGTTTCTTTTGCCCTAGGTAGGTCATTGGAGCCTTACTTCTGCTGTTCTCTAAAGAAGTACATTTGTAACTTAGAATTTGCTGTCATGAACTCACTGTCATAACACAGTCTTCTCTTGCACTTGAGGCATTTATTGCAATTGGTGGGCTGGAGTGGGCTCTGAGCAACCTGGTCTAGTGGGAGGTGTCCCTGCCCATGGCAGACGGCTTGAAACTAGATAATCTTCAGGGTTCCTTCCAACACAAGCCATCTGTTGTTCTGAGATTATTGTCAGTAGAAGTTTGTAGCAGGACACATAAAATGTTCATGAGGTGGTTTTGGTTTAGGATTTTTTTACCATATTGCAGCTGTGTGGAGGAGCTCTGGCAGGGAAGAGTTTTTGCAGACTGTGGTAACAGATGTATATAATGTTGGCTGAGTTGGTGCATGCTGAGTTAGGGTTGTATCCCATGAAGAGATTTCACTGTGGCCTCCTGAGGGCAGTCTATCCTAAGGCATTACTATATTGGTAATGACTTGGTGAGTATTGTTTTAGGGAAGTGGAGTTGC